GGGTTTGTGTCTTCTTCTTGACTTATTAAAACCCTATAGAAACCCCTGAAAACTAACCTTATGTGGAGACATATCGCTGTGGATGTAGGTAGCATGCAAATTACCACATAACCAAAAGTAACCGATTCTAGGCCCATGAATAATATTTCAGCACATATATGTACTTATATTCCTGGAATCTGAGGTGATTGTTCTTAGCCTGCTGCTTCTGCTGGCCAATGAGAAGATGGACTGGACACGTGCCTTCTGGCTGAACAACCTATAGAGTACTGTGGAGATGTAGTATCGATCTATAATGGACAAAACCTTATAGGTACGTAGCACAGCACGTGATTTATGTGAGTTGTGGAAACTAGCAAATCAGGTTTGGAATTTCGCCGAGTTCTTCGCCGGTGAAGCAAACTTGTCCAAAGCCCTTCGGGACCTCAATCTTTGTGGTGTTTCCTTTGATCAGAAGTACCCAAGCTCCGGGATGGACTTCCGCACGGCAAGTGGTTTCTCGCTTCTCGGCTTCACTTGGAAATAGAAAGGGTTGTCCATGTCACTGTTCCTGCTATCTGCCCTGTTTCACTCGAATTCTTTGAGGTTGGCTTTGTCTGCCATCCTTCGCCTAAAGCGATCAAGTCTGGTGTTCCTGGCCCCAGTCTGCAGCACCATGGGGACATTGGTTGCAAATCACACTGGTCGGAGCTTTCTGATGCCAATTGGTGACACAACACGGCAGGATGTGGCTGAGTCGAACGTCATGGCCATAAGGCCAGAAGTCGGTAATATTGCAATTCTACTCTAGCAATAACCGCTCTCGAATCACTTTGTTCGTCCTTCCCTGTGAGGACGATGCTTCTGTGCTGGGTCCTCTCGGCTCTCGGACATCGTTTTGTACTGGAGCAGCCGGCTGGGGGAATGTGGAGGCATCTCCCCTTCTGGAGATTTTATTGCAAATATATTGCAATGGTTTACAGGCAGGCCGTGTGGATGAGACAGTATGGGTCGAAATCACTCAAGAGGACATTTTTGTGGAGCAACTGCCCCGAAGTCAAACTCCTGGATCGTGGACCGATCACTAAAGCTGCTTAGGCTTTTGCAGA